TATCTACCTATCTACCTATCTACCTACCTACCTACCTATCTATCTATCTATTTATCTATCTATCTATCTATGTATCTGCCGGCCTATCTGTCAATCTAGACCTTTCTTTCGTATATATCTATCTTTATTTTCCGTTTTAATCTGTCTTATTGATCTTTTCTTTGTTCAAAGATCTAGCTTATCTACAAGGGGTTTTCTCTTATTTCTTTTTCTATGTGATCTATCTGATCTATTTTTCTATATTATCTATCTTGTCTATATGATCTATCTTATCTTGTTTTGTTCTTGCTTTTCTATCTTTTTGTCCTGTATGATGTGTCTTATCCAACTTTTCTATCGCATCTATCTTTTCTATATATGATCTCTATCTTACCTCTTTCGTTTTTTAATCGATCTTGTCTATCTTATCTATCTAGTCTACCTGGTCTATCCTTTTTGTTTGTTCTATCCTACCTTTTCTCTTTGTATATGATCTATCGTGTTTTCCTTGTCTATCTTGTCTATCTCGTCTATCCTACCTACCTCATTTTTCTGCTCTATCGCTTCTGTATTATCATCTTTCTTTTCTTTATGATCTATCTTATCTATCTTGTGATTTATATCTTGTCTATCATACCTATCTCATCTATCCCCTGTATTTGGTCGGTCTGTTCTATCTTGTCTGTCTTGTCTAAACTCGGCTATCTTATCTATCTAATCTGAATCTAAATCCTCTGAATCCTCCTCTGATTTTGAACCCCCACCTAATTTTGAATCTTAATCTAATTTAAAATTCAATCTGAAATTGAATAAAAATACGTATCCAAATCTAAATGTTTTTCTCAGCCAAAATCTAAATCCAGAAAATTCAATCCAACCTAATGTAGTCTAAATCCAATTTAATTTAATCCTAATTCAATCTGATCTAGTCTATTCTAATCCAATCTAAACTGTTCTAGTCTAATCCAATCGAATCTTTCTAATCTATTTGTCCTGTCTAATCGATCTTTTTGTTCTAATCTATCTAGTCTATCCTATCTATCTCATTTATCTAATCTGTATGTTGTTTCCTTTCTGTAGCGCACCCAGCGCACCCGGCGCACCTAGCGCATGCACCCAGCGCACCCAGTGCACCCAGTGCACCCGTCGCACCTGGCGCACCCGGCGCACCCGGCGCACTCGCGCACTCGGCGCATTCAGTGCACCCATCCAGCGCACCCAGCGCACCCGGCGCACCCGGCGGCGCACCCAGCACAGTCAGCAATCTGCAGTCACGGAATTACCGGTGCACTGTCCTTTATGTCTGTTATGTCTGCTATGTCTGTTAATTCCGTTATGTCTGTATTGATGTCATGCATGTAATGAATGCAACGTATGTAATGTATGTAATGTAATGTAATCTAACGAAACGTAAGGTAATGTAATGTAATGTAATGTAAAATAATGTAAGGTAATGTCATGATGTCATGTAATGTACTGCAATTCAATGTGATGGAATGTACTGCAATGTATGTAATGTACGTAATGTTATGCAATGTAATGTAATGTATGTAATGTATGTCATGTCTATAATGTATGTAATGTATAAGTTTATGTAATGGTATGCAACCGTATGCAATGGATTGCAATGGATTGTAACGGATTGTAATGATATGTAACGGTATATATTGGTAAGTATTGATAGTGCTATGTAATGGGGTGGTATGTAATTGTATGTAATGGTATGCAACGGTATGTAATGGTATGTAATGGTATGTAATGGGTTGTAATGGACTGAAATGGATTGTAATGGTATAAAAAGTTATGGCATGGAAAGTAATGGTATGTAATGGTGTGGAATGGTATCCAATTGTATGCAATAGTATGTAATGGTATGCAATGGTATGCAATGGTATGTAATGTAATGTAATGTAATTGTAATTTAAATGCAATGTAAGATAATGTAATGTAATGTAATGGGTGTAAGTAAGTGCGTGCGTACGTACGTACGTATGTATGTATGTATGTACGTATGTATGCACGTATATATGTACGTATGTATGTACGTATGTATGTACGTATGTAAGTACGTATGCATGTAAGCATGCATGTATGCATGCATGCATGTATGGATGTATGGATGTATGGATGTATGGATGTATGGATGTATGGATGTATGTATGTATGTAGGTAGGTATGTATGTATTTATTAGTGCAATGCAATGCAATGCAGTAATGTAATGTACGTCACCCGTCTAATTCCAACGGGGTTTGTAATGTAATGTAAGTATGTATGCATGTATATGGAATGTTATGTAATATTATGGCCAGGCGCTGCGTGTTGCTCGGAAGTTTACAGGGACGTTCCCGGCATGTTTCATGATGATGATGATTATTATGATGATGAACATGGTGATGCAGAAAGCAGAAATGTCGTGCGTGGGTAATATTATGTTATGTAATGTAATGTCATGTGAGTAATCCAATGTAATGCAATGCAACGTAATGTAATGGAATTATTTATGTATGTAATGTATGTATGTAATGCATGCAATGTAATGTAATGAAATGTAATGTAATGTAATGTTATGTTATGTTATGTATGTACTGTAATGTGATGTAATGCAATGCAATGTAATGTAATGTACTGTTATGTTTTGTATGTAATGTAAATGTAATGTAATGCAATGCAATGTAATGTAATGCAATGTAATGTAATTATTTTTAGAATTAATGTATGTATTCAATGTATGTAATGTAATAAAATGTTATGTAATGTAATAATGTTATGCAATGTTTTGTCGTAATGTAATGTAATGTAACGTAACGTAATGTAATGTAATGTACTGTAAGGAATGTAATGTATGTATGTGTGTATGTGTGTATGTGTGCATATGTGTATATATGTTTGTCTTTGTGTATTCTTGTATTTATGTATGTAGGTATGTACGTATGTACGTAGGTAGGTAGGAAGGTATGTGTGTATGTAATGTATGGTTGTTTGTATGTATGTATGTTTGTCTATAATCATGTACCATATGAACTGACTTTTTGCGAATAGATGAAAACCTTGGAGGACGACTTCCTGAACTTTGAGCAGTTTGTGTGCCCTGGGGGTTGTCCCATCCCGAAAGACTACATGGACGGGAGCATTTGGCCGGGTTTTCTGGTCCTCTGGGATGGTTTGCTTTAACTTATTGACTACTGAATTGGATTGTTTCCCAGATTGGGCCGGAGAAACAATCGTCCAGTTGAACTATATAAATTATATAAACGTGAGTTCGGAGAGATGAGAGAGATGAGATCCTGTTGATTCATTCGGCAGGTTTGACAGATTGGCTTGGAGTATATACTTAGATTAGAGCACATCTCAGATAGATCTTAAATCAGATAAGATCAGAACAGATTGGATTAGGTTAGGTTTGTTCAGATTGTCAGATAGATTATCCAAATTAGATTGTATAAACTAGATTAGTTTAGGTTGGGTTAGAGCAGATCAGATCAGATGGGTAGATGAACATAGATTAAAACTGGATGACATTATCATCATTCAGTAGATGGGATCCGATGAAGCTCATGAGATTAGATAACATTAGATTGGATTGATCTTGGGTTAGATTAGATTGAATTAGACAGATAGATGTGTGGATGGATGGATGTAAAGATGAATAGATCGACCGACCAGACCGGCCGAACAGACCCGACACATCCACAAGCAAATCTAACCGCACATGAATCAACGAATGCATATGCACATGCAAGATCACTATATCAAATCGATCGGTCAATGGATGGATAGAGCCGGACGTGTTTCCAATCCGACATTTTTAACAATTCGGTTTATTTCTGTTTCTTTTTGTTGCCCTTTCTTCCAGTACAGTTAAATATTTCCATTTCAGTGCGCTATGGTAAATTAAATTTAAATTACATATCACACACTAGGTGTGACGACAAGCAACGGCAAACACCCGTGTTCCGTTTCAAGACTTGCCGACGAGTGGGGTTGATCCAAAAACAGCGCGCGAACACATTCAGGGGTTTTAAACATTGCTTATCCATTGACATCCATTGACAGGGATTGGTCTGAAAGTAAGGTACCCCAAAATATCATGAATAAAAATCAGCAACATGCACATATATGATATATGTAAACAATGTAATACATGTAATGCCTGTAATACATGTAATACTTGTAATGCATGTGATACAAGTAATACATGTAACACATACGTGCATGCAATCCTGTAATGCATACATGTAGTACTAGAAGTACAACATGTAGTACATGTAATACATGTGATGCATGTGGTTTGTCTAATACATGAAATGCATTTAATACCTTGGATACATGTAGTACCTGTAATACATGTAATACACATAATACATATAATACATGTATTGAATGTAGTAAATGTAATAGATGTAATACATGTGATATGCGAGTGTAGACTAGGTAGGAACATACCTCACTATGCACTATGTACAGTATTTTTCCAACAGCTTGGGAAAAAACACCGGTTTTCCAACAGGTACACGGTCGGACGTTTCCAACCGCTTCCCATGACATCACTAGCTTGGCCAGCGTCGCGATGTCATGATGTCATGGCCCCTAGCACTTGTTGAATTAGTGTAATCATATCCCTATGAAATAACGCGTTTCACACACAAACACATACACACGCAAACATATACACACGGACACACACATATAATATATTATATTATATTATATTATGTTATATTATATTATATTATATTATGTTATGTTATGTTATATTATATTTAATTATATACATAATTATATATATAATTATATTTATAATATTTAGATATCTATAATATATATCTAATTGTAAATAAATGAATAATAAATGAATAAATAAATAAATAAGTAAATAAATAAATAAATATAAATATATAAATATATATATATATATTAAAAACATGTCAGTAAAAAACATGCCAGGTTACGCGTGCCCGGCCATTTTCACACATATCCATGCGTTGGGGGAAACTGCGGACAATACCTCCGCTATCCGCTGATGCTGCAGGACGATGGCTATTGCGATTGCCCTGGCACCTGTGATGACGAATCCTTCTGGGATTGTGACACCTGCGGCTGTCCAGACAACTGCGGAGGCTATGGGTCACCTTGCTTTGAACCGTTTTTCCAGTGTCCGGGGAGCAACTGCACCGTCCCAATCTTCTATGTGAACGACAACTTCTGTGACTGTCCGAACTGTGCGGATGAGGACTGCTTCTTTGCAGCTTTTGGTTTCAAAAGGTTTCTTCTTTTTCCCCACCTGGGAGTTGAGCAATGCTGAGACCGCTGCGAGAAACATTCGAACAGCGTGAACACACTACGTTGAGAGGCCGAAGGCCGAAACCCAGCAGAAACAATGCGCCAGCGGCCGTGGCTCAGACCCCTTGACCCAAGCGTCTATGGCAGAGAGTTTCAATGGTGACCCTCAAAAGAGTTTCTTTTGCGGCTCTGGCCTGTGCTTGGCCTGTGCCCCTTGGACTGGCGTAACACTTAGCACATAAGCTCCCCACTAGTCTTGCGGTGAAGCAAGCGAATAAAACAATAATCAACCGCAGAGCATAGGCGGACAGACCGGGCTCTAAAAGCGATCCCCTTTTGACCATAAAACAGGCTCACTTGTGACCTTAAAACGAAACCGGTGCGGTTGTCATTTCATGTGGCAGGGGCCATACTGGAGGGTCCACAAGAAAAGAACAGTTAATAAAAATGCCAAAAGAGAGCCAAACAAACAAAAGAACAGATCAACAAGCGAACCACCACCCCACTTCGAAGACAGGCTCGCTAGTTGCCCCAAACTGGATTTGAAAATTAGATGAACGCAAGACATTGTCGGGAGGGAGGGGCAGTTGGGACAATGAACCCAGAGGAATGAAAGCAAGGAACTCCAGTCTCAGAAGGCCAGAGGTGGCAGAAAGTTTAATGTTTTTGAAAACCGCCATTGGCAGGAGAGAAATATGTCGCAATATATGTCAGCATCTTTGCCAGGATATTTATGATTATATTTATGGTTTGGAATCACATTTTGATGGGTTGATTTTTACCAAGCGTATTTTTTCCACGTTGTTCCTTCTTTGTTAGTTTCAATGTTCGTTTTCTGATGTTCATCCCAGCTGACGATCCCAGCGTAGGAATTTTGGACCTGCGAAACGTGTACCTTTGGCTGCGCTGCCTTCTGCGGCTCTTCGTATGCCTGTGACCTTCGGGTCTTTCAATGCACCTCCGCTGACTGCGAACTCTCCGGCTTTCAAGTCACTTGGCTGTGACATATGTGACATGATTGACATGGCTTGGGGATAATACGCACATGTACTGTATTGTATCTCCAGTCTGCATAGATTTACATAGGCCTATGCTCATCCCAACAATCTGGGATGACGACTGCAAATTTGGGGCCTGCCCTGCGTTTCTCGACAAACCAAATTTGTTTCAAACAAAAGCGACTGGATTTTTGGGGTGTTCCAGCTGTATTCCTAAGTTGGTTGATATTGCCAGCAATGCAGGGTCCACAAAAAAGTTGCCAACTCTCTGTTGGGACTTGGAACGTGTTGGTTCGTTAGGTTTCGTCATGCAAAAGCTGCGAAACCGTAGCAGGGTTTGTCCCAAAATCTGGAAAGGATCAGGCCATGTCTCCCATCACTTTCAGCCACGTCCAAGGTGAACGACAATCGCTGCGATTGTCCTGAGTGCGAGGCACGGGGGGAAGGGGGGAGAATAGCACCCACCAGGTGTAATCCTCACATGGGATTATTGATGATGTACAGTATAATGCTCAAAATGTGAAGCGAAATACCTAATTATCTTCTTCTTTTCTCCTCCTATAATTTTCTTCTAACACTGGGTAGTAGTGATGGTACCGCCCTTATAATCAAACGGGGTCATCGGTTGAGAGCTGCAAATGGGGGATTCAAAGCCATTCTTTTGGTGTGAAAGATGCGGCCACCTCATGCAAGATACAACAGATTATCTCAGAAGGAATCATCTTTTCGATCTTTTGGGGTGTTGCTATATGTTGAATGATATACTGGGGGTATAACATATTTGGGGATGTTAACCCCATTCTCTGGGTTTTCATCTGCTATACTGGGTTGAATGATTATACCAGATGGAAATGAAACCAAGAAGCAAAACAAGTCACAATAGTTTTGCCCGTCGAGGATGAAGATCGTTGGACTTGCTACTGGGCTGATGGATCAGGCGTCGAACCCAACCCACAATGATTTGCAAGAAATGGGGAGTACTTACAAAGAATGGGTCCTTCTAAGAAGAATCAACATAGCTTGGGATGTTCCAATCATTCAGTCAATATTTCCATTGGATTTTCCACTGGGAAAGTCCACATGTTCAGGCAATTTTACAATAAACTTCAATCCCTGCTGGCCCAAGTGGAGGTTAAGTTAAAACCGTTGGATAACATCAAAGAAAAAACTCATGATCTTGTGAATTATCACCGGCCACTGGTCTTTTCAAAGATGAACTATAACTGTCCTTCGGACAAATGGGACGATGGCCCCAATTGAGTGATGGTTCTGGATAGGTTAAAGATAGTACAAACATAAGCAAAGTCAATCCACCTCAAAAAAGAGTGTCAGTATTTATGGGAACATCGGAACATCCCCAAAATCTTGTTGCTGTATCAAATAACCTGGCAAACCAGAGTACACAATCCCAGGAATCAATCATAGGAATCAATCATCAGGGATTGAAAAAACACCATCCCAGCTACAAGGCCTTTGGGGGATGGTTACTGTATGTTACTGTATGTTACTGTTGCTTCTTGTTGTGTTTACCGAAATTCTTGGATGGTTGACGGTTCGGCCCGAGGTGATACCTGCAGGACCGGATGTCCTCAGGAGTGCGGCGAATTCAGCAGCTCAGCGATGGGTTTCGCGGTACATCTTCCAAGTGATGGTTAGAAAGGGCATATGGCATAGGGATCAAACACAAATTATCACAAATTGTTATCAGGATCAAAAAACACAAATTGGATCATATCAGGATAACACAAATAATTCCTAGAAAGGAAGGAAAGAGGGCAGAAAAAAAAGAAAGAAAGAAAGAAAGAAAGAAAGAAAGAACATCTTGACTCCAAATAATGATGTGAATCTTGTGCATACTCGATTTTGTGGGCCAATTTTTTGTGCCCATGTTTGACCCAAACCATGAGATATTAAATGGCCACCTCGTGACAATTATCCCGTTGCCCCAAAAATATCCAGAAATTGGTTGACACAAAAATTCACAGGATCCATCTGCAACAATTGGAAGAATCTTAGAGGTTTTCTGTCCTTTTCCCCACCAATCCAAGCATCTCCAACCCAGTCTGCGCATCAAGGCGACTTTCCGCCGGCGGTTTGTGGACTTTCGCCGACCCTGCCATTCGAATTCAATTGCCCTGCGAACCTTCTGGGCACCTGCAAAAGGAACTCCTCTCAGTGGAACGATGGTGTTTGTGAAGCTTGGAGCGATGGATGACTGGATGGGGATGATACATGAATAGGTAGATAGATGGCATACAGGTAGATAGATGGGCAGATGGAAAGAGAGAACGAGAGAGAGAGAGAGAGAGAGAAGTAGAACAATACTACCCTAGATGGACGACATATTCAAACCCCTTCTATCCGGTACAACCCCCTCGCCCCAAAGTTCAATGTTAATGTAACCTGAAGTGCATTAGCCCCCATGGACGAAACAAATCAAACCCTAACATCACTTTTGGTAACATGCGCGCTGAAACATTCAGATTTTGGGGTGCGGGGGTTCAACATTTCAACATAGTGCGTGTTGCAGGGTTTGAATGTTTTGTCCATCTACTGTAGTGACACAAAAGGTAAGAAGACGGAGAGAGAGAGAGAGAGAGACACACACACACACTCGCATACATCCATAAATGATACATATATTATATACTATATATATATATATACTCATAATATCTAAATAAACAAATGAACACATGAATATAGATAGATAAACAAGTAAATAGACAGATAAATCAGTGCATAAAATAGTAAGTAAGAAAAAACTAAATGAATGCATACATGAACAGATAGATAAAGCAGTGAATACGTATGTATGTATGTATGTATATATATATGCACAGTATATAAATATAAATCAATAGATGTCGAAATATAGGGGAGTTACATTTTATGAACGGCAGCGTCAGCCTATATGCGTTAGCACTCCAGCGGTCCCCTGTGCCTCGTAGTCATGTTTTAGGATTGAGAAGGAAACCTTCACTAGTCCCCCCCCATTCGATTCCCCCCAGGGACATGTTTGGTGTCATGGCAGGGGTCACCGCCCTCGTCATCCTCACCATCCTTTTCGTTCTCATCCCCTTCATCATCTCCATCATCAACATACTCCTCAGTACACAATTGATTTGAATTGCACCCATTGTTAGATACCAAAAAAGTCTCCTCATCACGTTGCTAGTGAGCTAGTGGCGGTCATCCTGACAACCATCTAAGCATACAATCATGCAACCACATCTCATTTTACCATGCTCCCATACCCAAACCTATTGCAACCCTGTCTATTTTGACGTACAACTGTTGCCACAGTATTCTACTTATTATCCACATTTCACAAGTGAGGCAACGCCTTGTTCCGAACGACCACACAGAAATCATGTCATTTTGGAATTCTTCGTCCCGCAGAGCTATGTGGCATTGAATTCCCTTCTTCCATTCCTGTTGTTACCCCTTTCTGCCTTTCGTCTTCCTTATCAAGTTTTGGTAGAGAAACAAAAACAGACAGACAGACAGAAAGACAGAAACAAAGAACAGGATAGATAGATTGATAGATAGATAGACAGATAGACAGATAGATAGATAGATAGAAAGATAAATCAGATAGATTAGATAGATCAGATAGACAAGATAGAGTAGATAGATCAGATTGTTCAAATAGATCAGACAGATAAGATAGATAAGTTATATAGATAAGAGAGATAAGATGGATACACATACAGGTGAACATGAACTAACCTAACGGAGGATAAGATAGATAGACGGACAGGTTGACAGATAGACAGACTGTTAGAATGATAGAACGACAGACTGAGAGAAAGATAGGTAGATAGGTTAGATTAGCTTAGATTGGCTGAGTTTTGATTGATTGATTCATTGATTGATTCAATGATTAATTGATTCGATTAGACTAGACTAGATTGGATTAGATTATATGGACTCGATCGATGGATAGATGGATAGTTAGATAGATAGATAGGCAGATAGATAGATCGATACATACATACATACCTGCGTCCATACATGCATGCATGCATACATACATACCTACGTATCTACATACACACATACGTACATTACATTACATTACATTACATTATATTACATTATATTACATTGCATTACATTGCATTACATTGCACACAGACACACAGACAGACAGACAGACAGACAGACAGACAGGCAGGCAGGCAGACAGGCAGGCAGGCAGGCAGACAGGCAGACAGGCAGACAGGCAGACATGCAGACATGACAGACATGCAGACAGACATGCAGACATGCAGACATGCAGACATGCAGACATGCAGACATGCAGACATGCAGGCATGCAGCATGCACATGCAGACATGCAGACATGCAGACATGCAGACATGCAGACATGCAGACATGCAGACATGCAGACATGCAGACATGCAGACATGCAGACATGCAGACATGCAGACATGCAGACATGCAGACATGCAGACATGCAGACATGCAGACATGCAGACATGCAGACATGCAGACATGCAGACATGCAGACATGCAGACATGCAGACATGCATACACCCATACATACATACACACACATACATACATACACACACACATACATACATACATACATACATACATACATACATACACACACACACAAACATACAAACATACAGACATACAGACATACAGACATACAGACAGACAGACAGACAGACATACATACATACATACACACATACACACATACACACGTACACACATACACACATACACACATACACACACACACAGACAGACAGACAGACAGACATTACATTAAATTACATTACATTACATTACATGTGCATGTAACGCATTACATGTGCATGTAACGCATTAGATGCATTAATTAGATGCATTAGATGCATTAGATGCATTACATGCCTTACATGCATTACATGCATTGCATGCATTACATGCATTACATGCATTACATACATTACATACATTACATGCATTACATGCATTACATACATTACATACATTACATTCATTACATTCATTACATACATGACATTCATTGCATTCATTACATACACTACATGCATTACATACATTACTTACATTACATACATTACATACGTTACATACATTACATACATTACATACATTACATTACATTACATACATACCATACATACCATACATACCATACATACCATACATACCATACATACCATGCATACCATGCATACCATACATAGCATACATAGCATACATAGCATACATAGCATACATAGCATACATAGCATACATAGCATACATAGCATACATACCATACATACCATGCATACGATGCATACCATACATACCATACATACCATACATACCATACATACCATACATACCATACATACATACATACATACAGACATACAGACATACAGACATACAGACATACAGACATACAGACATACAGACATACAGACATACAGACATACAGACATACAGAAAGACAGACAGACACACATACATACATACATACATCCATCCATCCATCCATGCATGCATGCATACATACATACATACATACATACAGACATACACATATACATATATATATTAAATCAATATCTAAAGTGTATATACATATATTTTAATCGCCACGGATTAGAGAGGCGTCGCAAATGAAATTGCTGGTGATTTAAGCTTAAGCTTTCTTTCGTACAAGGCATGATGATTCCGAATGATTCGTTTTAGGACGGCCAAAACTAAGTAGACATACCCAGCAAAAGCGAGACCAAAACTGAGAATAGAGCTGACGGGTACCGTACACACACACACACACTCGCACACATCCACACAGCATATCCCTAGCCTACACCACCAGTATTCTTGGAGTCATCCTACCCAGTTGCGTGGACACGTAACCAAATCCAAGGCTGGCAGATAGTGAGCCTTTGGCTGGGTACACCAGGGCTTCCCTTCAATGCGGATCCCACGTGGCCATTGCAAACCGGGTTGTTTGAAAATAAAGCACCCACAATCCCATGGTAACGGCCGCAAGATGGGGTGCTGGCAGCTTTGACACAACCCCATATCCTGGTTGATGGGTGAATGAATAATGGCATTCATCCCAGTACGCTATCCATTCTTGGCTAGGGTACATCACCCAAAAATGTTATGGTGATATCTCATCAAACATCCCCATTATATCCTAGTCGTGGTTTGTTTTGTATCCCCCAAACGCATCATGGTTTCATCGCGTTGGTTTACACCTCTGTTTTTGATGAATGAATTAAACTCCAATGTTCCGCGGTTGGGCCCCCAAATAAACTGGTCAGAATCCCTCGAGACATGGAACGTTTCGAAGTTGGTTTCCTTCCCAAGTCTTCATCATTTGGGGGTTTCCAATCGATGCGGTACCCCAAATCATCCAAGTCATTAGAACATGGCTTAGTATTGAAACCACCATGGTAAATTTGGGATTCACATTTTTAAGACCCACCCATTATTAACCATTATTGACAGTTTTTAGCCATTATTAAGCATTATTAACCACCTTTAAAAACCACCATTTGATCATTTTTGGTCGGTCATTCTTGTCCGCCGCCTCAGGACTGCCCTGACCCTCAGAACTGCATTGATGCGGGCCAACCTTGTGGCTGCAGAGACGAGAACCTGATGTGTACTGAAGCATGCCAAGCTGAGTACGATGCGGTCAGCGCCAACGTTTGTCCAAGCACTTGCGATCCAACTGGGGTGACTGGCTGGTGCTTTTAATGATTTTGATTTGGGATATTCTGCCATGTGGATTGGAGAAAGAAAATGGGGATAGTGATCTAAAGTTTTTTTTTTTGGGGTGATGGCTAAACCACCAACCAGACGACCTTGGGCAACTGTTCCTTCCGATGCCCCGTGGTGGATGGCTCCGAAGATCCCTCCGGTTACAACGATGGCTTTGGCTATGGCTTCATCCAAGAGCAAGTCGCTTGTTGTTTGTTTACACCCAGTATGATGATGATGGTGATGATGATGATGATTCTAGTTATTTTGTATTTATATAGCATTGTTTCAATATCTTTTAGTGCTATTATCTATCAGTATTGCTTTATTACTACAGTATCATATTATCATTTTCCTATGTTGCAATTTTCAATTTTCAGGATTGTTCTAGCTATTTGATTTCTTTTCTTTATTTTACGTTGAAACCACTGAAGGGCATGCCTATACGGTCAGATCTCACATGGTAAGAATGATGCCAATCATCTTTACAATAATAGTGATAGCCATAGGAGCCGCAATAGGACCAATGCGAATAACAGTGATGAATAATGATAGCACAAACATCTTAAAATGAGAAAATGCATAGTTAATGAAACACCTAATATCTATACACACATAATATATAGGTACCACTTACGAACCTACGTACGTGGGAACGTACACACGCACATATGTACATATATGTATATAGGCACATATATGTGTATACGCATACAAGCATACATACGCGCGCGCACAAATACGTCCGTACATGAATCCATACATACATCCATCCGTGGTAGCTTTCATACATGCATGCATGCATGTATATATATATAATATAATATATATGATATATATATACCATTATATACAAGCATACAATTATATACAATTATATGCAATTATATACAATTATATGCAATTATAATGAATTATATGCATACCCATTCAGACAAGTATATATATATACATCAATACATGCACACACACACATATATATACATACACGTATTTCTCTATACATATATGCTTCCATGTACCATGCATCCATGCATCCATGCATCCATGCAGCCATCCATCCACATATACCTACCTACCTACATATACCGACATATGCCTACATATATCTACACACACCTACATATACCTACATATACCTACATATACCTACATATGCCGACATATGCCTACATATACCTGCATATACCTACATATACCTACATATACCTACATATACCTACATGTACCTACATATACCTACATATATATATATATATGCATACATATGCATACATATACATATATATATATATATACATACATATGCATACATTTACATACATATACATACATATACATATATATATACATATATATACATATATATACATATATATACATACATATACATATATATATACATACATATGCATACATTTACATACATATACATACATATACATATACATACATATACATATATATATATACATACATATGCATACATATACATATTTATATACATACATACATATGCATACATTTACATACATATACATACATATACATATATATATATATATATACATACATATGCATACATTTACATACATATACATACATACATATATATATATATACATACATATGCATACATTTACATACATATACATACATATGCATACATATGCATATACATACATACGTATGTGTGCCTGGCCAGCTGATCAGGGCTGCCTGCTGGAAGGGTGGAAGATCAACGATGGAAGATGCGATTGCCCCAAGAGCTGCGCTGACGAGGACAGCTGTGTCGGAAAATCGGACCATGCTATAGGCGATTTACCACCAAATTATGACACAATTTCAGAGGGAAATCATGATAAATCATAGGCTATCATAGGTCAATCAGCCACAGACGGGGAAATTGATTTATTGGGTGTGCCATGGTATGCCCAGTTCCAATGGAGAAATGGGGAAAATGATGATCCATTGGAACTGGGAGTATCTTTGCCTGTCACAGCAGACACAGGCGAACTGGGATTGTACCAACTGCAGCTGCGCCGAATTTTGTGACTTGGGCATCAACAATGGCCTGCTGTGTTCAGAGCAGTTCACTTGCCCCAACAGCGGCTGCGTTATTTCCAAGACCTTCTTGAACGATGGCCATTGCGACTGTCCAATCGATTGCGCGGATGAAACGGACACGGAGTGGAGCTGCGAAAATTGCGCCTGTGACTTTGGATGTGGCTTGGGTTTGATTGGGAATTTGATTTAGTCATACTATCTACTATTTGTCATTCTTTATCCATATTTTAGGACAATGGAATGCACTCATGATACTGATGACCCGACAGTCGGGCTCACCAAACGTCCCAGGTGGAAATCGCAGCCTCAAGTGCTCAGAGCAATTTCGTTGCTTCGAGTCCGGTGGCTGTACGATCAACCAGAACAAGCGCAACGATTTGACATGTGACTGCCCGAACTGTGAGGATGAACGTGAGAATAACTTGGATTGTACCAAGTGTGCGGGGAGGTGCCCCTCTGACTGCGGTCAAACCGATCCCGAGGTTCCTCCGTGTAAGTATCGCTGTGAGTTTAGTGGGTGTCTCATCGATGCTGAATTTGTGGGCGATGAGTTTTGCGACTGTCCATTCAACTGCGAGGAGGAGGCAGACCGAGGCTTCGTTTGCGGCCCACCCTCTTGCCCATGTCCACAAGTTTGTGTTGATGACTACCTGGGATGTGATCCAGTCCCACCTTCGGAGCTATTTCTTTGCTCCGAGTCAGGTGGTTGTGGGATCAACCAGAACAAAGTCAACGATTTGACATGTGACTGTCCGAACTGTGAGGATGAAACTGATGCGGGCTTGGATTGTGTCCAGTGTCGATGTCCCGCAGTCTGTGGTCAAACTCCTGAGGTGCCTGCATGCAAGTTTCGCTGTGAGTTTAGTGGGTGTCTCATCGATGCTCGCTCTGTGGGCGATGCGTCTTGCAACTGTCCGGACTGTGAGGACGAGGCAGAGCGGGGCTTCGTTTGCGACACGGAACTTGGTGGATTTTGCCAGTGCCCGACGGCCTGTGACCCTCAGACAGTATTTCCATGTTCCGTCCCCCCACCTCCACCACCGCCGCCGCCACCGCCGCCGCCGGCTCCTTCTGGATTTGCCTGCGACGATGGGTGTTTTGTCAGCCAAGACGATGTGGATGACGATTACTGCGATTGTTCTGACTTCAGCGACGAAGACCAGCACACTTGTGATGACTGCACCTGTCCAACCTTTGACCCGACATGTAGTAGTGCCTGGAAAGCATGGGCTCTTTCTTTCTATTTTGTTTCAATGTGTGGTTTTGAATTCCCATCCTTAAGCCTTAAGCACAATTGAAACCCTAAGTGCGCAAAGTATTTCATATCCCAACTGACCAGCACGAGCTTCTGATTTCTGATGGCCTTTGGGCCAAGACTAAGAGCATCCAAAAGTCACCAACCAGGTGGAGGCAGCAAGGGCAGCCTCACGTGCTCGGAGCAATTTCTTTGCTCCGAGTCAGGTGGTTGTGCGATCAGCCAGAACAAAGTCAACGATTTGACATGTGACTGTCCGAACTGTGAGGATGAAACTGATGCGGGCTTGGATTGTGTCCAGTGTCGATGTCCCGCAGTCTGTGGTCAAACTCCTGAGATGCCTGCATGCAAGTTTCGCTGTGAGTTTAGTGGGTGTCTCATCGATGCTGAATTTGTGGGCGATGAGTTTTGCGACTGTCCATTCAACTGCGAGGAGGAGGCAGACCGAGGCTTCGTTTGCGGCCCACCCTCTTGCCCATGTCCACAAGTTTGTGTTGATGACTACCTGGGATGTGATCCAGTCCCACCTTCGGAGCTATTTCTTTGCTCCGAGTCAGGTGGTTGTGGGATCAACCAGAACAAAGTCAACGATTTGACATGTGACTGTCCGAACTGTGAGGATGAAACTGATGCGGGCTTGGATTGTGTCCAGTGTCGATGTCCCGCAGTCTGTGGTCAAACTCCTGAGGTGCCTGCATGCAAGTTTCGCTGTGAGTTTAGTGGGTGTCTCATCGATGCTCGCTCTGTGGGCGATGCGTCTTGCAACTGTCCGGACTGTGAGGACGAGGCAGAGCGGGGCTTCGTTTGTGACACGGAACTTGGTGGATTTTGCCAGTGCCCGACGGCCTGTGACCCTCAGACAGTATTTCCATGTTCCGTCCCCCCACCTCCACCACCGCCGCCGCCACCGCCGGCTCCTTCTGGATTTGCCTGCGACGATGGGTGTTTTGTCAGCCAAGACGATGTGGATGACGATTACTGCGATTGTTCTGACTGCAGCGACGAAGACCAGCACACTTGTGATGACTGCACCTGTCCAACCTTTGACCCGACATGTAGTAGTGCCTGGAAAGCATGGGCTCTTTCTTTCTATTTTGTTTCAATGTGTGGTTTTGAATTCCCATCCTTAAGCCTTAAGCACAATTGAAACCCTAAGTGCGCAAAGTATTTCATATCCCAACTGACCAGCACGAGCTTCTGATTTCTGATGGCCTTTGGGCCAAGACTAAGAGCATCCCAAAGTCACCAACCAGGTGGAGGCAGCAAGGGCAGCCTCAAGTGCTCGGAGCAATTTCTTTGCTCCGAGTCAGGTGGTTGTGCGATCAGCCAGAACAAAGTCAACGATTTGACATGTGACTGTCCGAACTGTGAGGATGAACCTGAGAATAACTTGGATTGTACAGAGTGTGCGGGGAGGTGCCCCTCTGACTGCGGTCAAACCGATCCTGAGGTTCCTCCGTGTAAGTATCGCTGTGAGTTTAGTGGGTGTCTCATCGATGCTCGCTCTGTGGGCGATGAGTTTTGCGACTGTCCATTCAACTGCGAGGAGGAGGCAGGCCGAGGCTTCGTTTGCGGCCCACCCTCTTGCCCATGTCCACAAGTTTGTCGTGATGACTTCCCCCAATGTGATCCAGTCCCAGTTTCGGAGCTATTTCTTTGCTCCGAGTCAGGTGGTTGTGGGATCAACCAGAACAAAGTCAACGATTTGACATGTGACTGTCCGAACTGTGAGGATGAAACTGATGCGGGCTTGGATTGTGTCCAGTGTCGATGTCCCGCAGTCTGTGGTCAAACTCCTGAGGTGCCTGCATGCAAGTTTCGCTGTCCGAGTAGTGGGTGTCTCATCGATGCTCGCTCTGTGGGCGATGAGTTTTGCAACTGTCCGGACTGTGAGGACGAGGCAGAGCAGGGCTTCGTTTGTGACACGGAACTTGGTGGATTTTGCCAGTGCCCGACGGCCTGTGACCCTCAGACAGTATTTCCATGTTCCGTCCCCCCACCTCCACCTCCACCACCGCCACCGCCGCCGCCGGCTCCTTCTGGACCACCTTTTGCCTGCGACGACGGGTGTGGGGTCACCCAAGCGGATGTGGATGACGGTTACTGCGATTGTCCTGATTGCAGTGACGAAACGCAGCACGTTTGTGATGACTGCACGTGTCCCACGGAATGTGGTGCCTTGAAAGCAACTCCTTGCTTCTTTATGTTTTTACCTATCCTGCTTTAATTTTCTTTCCGTATTTTTTCCCCTTCCCATGAGCAGTTGTTGAAACTTGGGGTACCCCAAGCTGTTAGTTTCTCATGATTAAACATGACCAATAAATTCGAGGATAGCTTGGATGATCTCCGTTTCTTCTTTTGCACCATCATTTTTTTGTGATTTAATCTTTCGGTGTAGGTGAAGATGGTAAGGCTGGCCTCAAATGCTCAGAGCAATTTCGTTGTCCTGTCGGAGATGGCGGCCGATATGGCCGATATGGCCGATATGGGGGCGACCCCATTCCATACGGACGATTGCTATTGGATCAGTATCCATATGGTTATTCGGGAGGAACGCAGTCCGCAGAAACTGCGTCTGGAGCCCGATCCCTGTCTCATGGAGATTCTGATGCCTGTGTGATTAACAAGAACAAGGAAAATGATGGCACTTGCGACTGTCCAAACTGCAAGGATGAAATGGAAGGGCGCTTGGATTGTGGCGAGTGCGACTGTCCCAACACATGTGGGGAATCGGTGGATCAATGCAAGTACCGGTGTGAGGGTGAATCTTTGTGTCTCATCGATTCGTCTTACTTTAACGACGGGGAGTTTTGTGACTGTCCGAACTGTGACGATGAACGTGACTCTGGTTTCATCTGCAGCAATCAGCCTGGCGGATTTTGCGACTGTCCCAGTTCGGACGAATGTGGCACGGACTTCTCTGTGTGTTTGGGCACTCGACGTTTGGCTACGAATCTAAGCCTGGCTGATGCACCGGCACAGGTCGGTGTTGGCCATGGGGAAATCTCGCCCCTCCCACCATCATGGCTATCCATCACTTGCTATAACTACATGATTCATCAGCATCAGTATCGTCATGATCATTATCATCATCCTCGTCATCATCATCATCAGTATCATCATCACCAGTGATCATTCTACCTGTACTTGTATTATTCTGACGAGTTTGTCATCACATCACAATCACCATTCCTGAAAGATTCACACTATACAATGCTCACCTGCGCCTACTTATAGTTCACCAACCAAAGTGTTGTTTGATCTGGGGGTACCATTTTAGTACTAAAGATGATGCTAGATGATCATTTCTGATTAGGGTCATCCCCCCTAATCAGTCAGGGTTTATTCATCCAGGATGAGATGCCAGCAGCAGGATAGCAGGCTGCATGATGTTACAAATCACGCTGCGTGATGTCACATGATGTTTGTCATGCTACATGATGCTAGGTAGACAGGAGATGTCACTGACATTCACAGAAATTACAGCTGCAACTTTGCGAGTTCATTGACCTAACAAAAACCTTCATTCGAGAACCAAACAACACCCAAAAACCGCAGAACTACAAAAAAATGCGCTGGAGGAAAAAACACCATTTAGAAATTAGACTTTTCTGCATCATGCTTAAGCGCCTTTGCGCTTTGGCGAAAGCATCATCGTTTTTTGTTTTCAAAGTGCTTGTGTGAGCGCGGAAATGACTACCCTCTGGTAATTTAACATAGCTATTGAAAATGGCCATTTATAGTGAGTTTTCCCAATAAAAATGGTGATTTCCCATAGCCATGTTAGTTTACCAGAGGGTACCTGGCGGAAAATTCTGAATCCGGGTCAGGTGATCGTGACGCCACCTGAGTCGAAGTCACCGGAGTCGAAGTCACCGAAGTCACCAGAAACACCGAGAGCTGGTCGTCACTTGGTCGAAGGTCGGACGGGCTGTGTGCCACTTTCAATCAGGCTAAACCGGCTAAACCGTTTCCACCAGCTCTGTTGGCAATCAATATACTAACATATACTAACATATACTAACATATACTAACATATTAGATGATATTAGCTGATATTATACTACTATATTCCGTGATTGTTGGCTAAGTCCCCATGTTTGTTGGTGATCCCGCATGATCAGTAGCTCAAGGTGCCTGTGGCTCAAGGTGCTTTACCATTATGTAGGATAGCCCAGGATAGTTTAATGATGTTTGATGCTCCGAAGATGTCTTCATGATACAAAAAAAACATGGATACTCCTCCAAGATGGTTGGTTTTATCATGTTATCAATGGGAATTTCAGGATCCTAAAATGGAGGTACTGTACCATATTTTTGGTCATATTTTGTGGGGATATTCCCTTAGATAGGCCTTATATAGGCCTTATATATGGTAGGTACCTCCAATTAATTTAGGTTCCTGAAATGCCCATTGAATAATTCAGTAGAAAAAAAGGATCGCATCTCCGAGGTCATGTGACGGAGGTGACGCTGGAGGCAGCCATGGCCATTCGCAGTGCGCTGCAATGGGCCAACAAAGCCCGAGGTGCCTGGAAAGATCATGGGGACACCCCAGTAGCTGGACCGTTTAGAATGGGAAATCCCGACTATTTTTTGGTTGAATTGGGGGCACCATTTTAGGAACACACCATGTACCCTCTGGTTATTTATGGTTATTTAACATAGCTATGGAAGCCATGGCCAATGAACACAGATGACTGAAGGAAGTTTTGAAGTCAAACTTCCGACATATGGACAGATGCAGCAACAGATGTGGGAAAAGTTGGAGACGAGAGAGTCAGTAGAAAGAAGATCAATCAAAGTGCGCGAAAAGGTAGAAAAGTCCCGAAACACTGCGTTTTTCCAATGTTTTGCGGCTCCAGAGGCTCGAAAAGTAGGCTCGCTAAAGCGGCGGGTGCAGAGCGATCTTGCGGGATGAGAGATCAACAATTGCACGCGGCTGTGGCGCGAAGCACGTTTCGAAGTGAAACATCTTAAAGGCACACCATCTTCGGACCACTTTTGAACATCATTTTTCGTGTCAGGCACAATGGATTCTGCACCTTGGCAAAAGTGCATTTTCGCGGGGCAGGCGCAGTGCAAGAGACATCTCCATCAGATATGTTCGGAGGTCAGGGCGCTGATTTCCTGAGACGGGTTGCATTTTGGAGCATCAGATCCTCAGGTTTGCTAAGATGATTTTGCGTGACAGGCGCTGCACTTCGTATGACCTGGCTTCACTTTTTCGTGGCAGGTGCAGTACTTTACAGAGATGGGATGAAAAATCGCAGCACGCATTGGTACGAGGCTGTCAGCTCTGCATTCAACTTTTTTTTTTGGAAGGAAGTCTCGTAGAATTGCTTCGGTTTTGATGTTGTCAACTTTGAGAATTTGAGGGAGCCTCGCGGAATCTTGGAGCTGTGCCCTGTCGTTTTTTAAAGGATTTCTTGCAGAATTGCTCCATTTTGGACCTGTCAACTTCCACTTTTTGACGGAAGTCTCGCATAATTGCTTCCTTTCAGATACAAATACAAGATGGATGGATAGATATAGATAGACAGATAGATAGATAGGCAGGTAGATAAATAGATATATAGATGGATAGATGGAATGGATAGATAGAGAAAGGGTAGAGATGGAGACAGAGAGAGAGAGAGAGATAGGACAGGCAGGCAGACAGACAGACAGACAGACAGACAGATAGATAGATAGATAAGATAGATAGATAGAGACATAGAGAGGTAGAGAGAGATAGAGAAAGATAGAGAGACAGAGACGAAGAAACAGACAGGCATTGGGAGAGGTTGGCAGAGAGACAGATAAATGGATAGAGAACTGAACTAGATAGAGAGAGAGAGAGAGAGAGAGAGAAAATGAGAGACTCAGAGCCTCAACCACGTTTCGGTCCATCAGTGGGTTGGCTCTGCCATCCTTGCATCACAGCAACTCACCTCTCCTATACCTTGCACGGCACTACTGGTAAAAGTGATGATTTACCGTTCTTAAAAATGGTGGTTGTTCCTAAAAGTGATGATTTTCGATAGCCACGTTGAACAGCCAGATGGTAATTGTAGTAACCCCCCAAAAGATATAGGAAAGTAAACCCCACTAGGACATGCAGTGATATTTCAATTTTCATTCCTTTGGGGTGGGATATGATGTCGATATGATGATTGATTGTTAATGATTGGCTTTGAATTATGAATCCCATATATTTCCAATTGCCAACAATAAAAGGAGAGCTTTTATGATTGATAAACGGCAAATTGGGGATGGTGTGTTCTTGTGGATTTGCCAGTGAACCATATTTTTTGCGGGGATGGCTTACAACAACCCTTAACTGATAAAATTGGGCGTGATTTATCATTTAGATCCGGCAATGTTAAACATGCTAAAATTTGCGATTTCTTGGAAGGGGCTAGTTGCCGCGTAAATTATTAGCAACTTGGAAGGCGCACCAGTTTGAGTCAGACACTCCGACTTTTTGGGTTCGATGTGAAAAGAATCCGCACCCGGATGAAGATTACAATGTCGGATGAAGTTGGTGGGGCAACGAACCATTGAGGTAAAACACATGGAGCGCCACTTCACTCCTGTAATGCTCTCTGCAATTTGAAATGAGGAAACCATGGGAAAACCATCAAAATTTGCAGGGCTGTTTGATGGTTGAGACAGGGCCCTCCGATGACCTGAAATGACGTCCAGGCAAAGGAACCGCCGAAGAGCGATTGAGAAAGGAATTGGCTGCGGCATTCGAAGGAGACACCGGAAAGATGTCATACCTTCCTCAAATCAAGCATGGCAGGTTGGGAAATCCCCAAACTAAATGAAGGTCTGGAACAAACATCTATAAATGGATGGAACAGGAAGATGAAACAGTTGACCGGTTATGCACCGAAGCAATAACGTGCTCTGGGATCTGTGGCTGCGGCGAGGGGGGTCACCATTTCAAAAAGCTATGGCTACATGGGCAGCTTCTGCATGCTTCTGCCGATTCTCGCATTGGAAAAGTTGCAAGAAAAAACAACACCGTGTCCAAAAATCACACAAACTCACGCCAAACATGTGGATCTTGAAACAATTTCCATCTGCAGGAGCTGACCAGGGCATGTTGCACACTGTGAGTGGCCATCTTCGTCACCAGGTGCTGCACATTGCGCTGCAGGGTGCCTTAGGGCTGCTAGGCTCGGACGCAGAGCTGCGGCGTCGCGTTTCGTTGGTCTTCAGCGATGGCCCGCCTTTGAAGCAGGCGCGACACGTGGCGCCCAAGGGTTTCCAAGAGGAGGAACTGCCCAAAGAGCTGGGGGAAAGGGGCACCAAGCCGCCGGCACCTGCACCGCCCAAGAGCCCTGAGACGTCGGAGAAGTCGGGGAAGAAGAAAACGGGAAGGAAGGGAAACTTGCCTGGAGTGAATGATAAGGAATATACTGCATACGGATGTATAGTATAGGTTGATGCGTTCATGTTGCAGCCTGGTGTTCGCCACTTTCCAAGGTCCTCCTTCCAAGCACGTCGATGTGGTGGATTTGATCATTGAGCAGATGCTCCGCATGGCTTTCCCGAATAAGTCCCTCACCTTCGCACAACAATTATTGAAAACCTTGCGCCACGACCGGGGAAAAGCACCAGTAAAGGCACCGCCAAGCGACGTAGGTCAAGACGCAGCCGCTGGTGGTGATCAGGGACGCCAGTTGCAGGTGATGGGGGGCCGACACGGAAGGATGCCACTGACTTCGGGTGCTATTCTAGTCATGATGGGGTTGAATCGTGTTGAATCCTGGAGTTTTTCTCTTGGTGGTGGGTGGGAAAGGTAAGTCCTCCCTTACGATTACATTTATTTGTTGTTTGTGGTCTGGTTTGAGTTTTTGAACGTTTCCAACCATTTTGAACCACTGCCCCAATGATTTGGCATTGAGCGGGAGATGATCAAGAGCGGGGCACCGCTAGGATAAGAAACAGGAAGATTGGGAGAGATTGATGGTAGATGGTACCAAACTGATGCCTGCGGTGAGTAGATAATTAATGATAATTATATAGTATACCGGGGTTTCCTGATCTGTCATTCATCATTCACACAATATTTCGTGCGGAAGAACATGGCTGTGATGGAGTCGGGCACGGTTTCATGGTATTTCACGAAAAACCTGTTTTTGCGGGAACAAACCCGGGTTTTTGGTATGTCAAGCTAAAAAACCGTTTTTTTCCGAGAAACCCTGCTACTTTCGTCTATTTTCCAGGTTTTGGTAGGTCAATGTATTTGATAAGTGGTTCACAAGCCACTGTATTCCATTGTAGACATTTATTTGCATTAAAATCACCCAGTTATATCAACCATCAGTCCTAACTTCAGGACCATCGCAGTACAATGGAGTAGACTTGTTGATTTTTGGGTCTCTTGTCGGTACATACTCACAAATTCTTCACGATCATGCCAATCCAGGTTATATAGTCGTTCATGTTCCAAAGCAAGCCCTGCAATGCTGCAATTCTTACTGTAGTTGGATAACCGGATAACTAACCCATTCTGATGATACCCTCCAATCATTGATGGGGTTCAGCTTACTTACAAAGCAGATATATACTCTGGTATATAGCCGGGCGACGGACGATTCCTATTTTTGATAGGATGAAATTCAATCACCCTAAGATGGACGTTAAGTTTATAATCGGTGAATTTTGCATTGCCAGGTTTGCTTCTCAGACTGTAAAGCGCGCATTTAGTAGAGTTTACAGCTGCTCCAAGATTCTGAGGATGATTATCGCATAATACTAACCTGTTAACATCTGTTAACTTTATCAAGAGTAACCTGACAACTCAGCTTCAAACGCGGCAAGGGAAATCGACCATTTTTGCTTCGGAAATCCCGATTTTTCAACTCCCGATCCAACTTGAAAGTCATCTTGAAAGATTAGCGGTTTCATAAATGAAAGCCACCCACAAGTTACATCTACACATATCTACACACAATATGGGTACTTATGGGGCTTTCCCAAGTCATGGGGGTACCCCCAAGTCATCCAGGTCATCCAATTCGATCATTATCTGGTATTTTTATGTATTTTTCATTCATATTGAGGTTTCCTAAACTGGTGCATCCAAAAAAAACCATAGGTTTCAATACTCAACTCGTCTAATATTGGATGATTTGGAATATATACAACCCATTTTAGATATTTTAGGACACCTCCATATGGTTTTGGGAGATCCCCAACTCGTCAACTTCATTTCAATCCGGCAGGCGCCGAATGCCGCTGGAGGAGCGGGGCGCCCGGACATTCCGGGCCAGCTGATTCCCGAGGATGCCTTCCTTTGTCCCGACGTTGAAGATTGCCCACTGCCCAGGCCGTGGGAATTGTAGACAACCCATGGACAAGTTCCGAAATCCACTGGTTAATCGTGATTAATTTGTTTTTTGGGATCTATTTTTAAATAGCCATTTGTGGGGGGGGGGCAGTTGATTTGGAATGATGGGATTAGGACTTTTTTGATCTTTTTTGGGTAACTCTCCAATTTATGGTCTTCACAACAGATCATCTTTGTGCCAGGTATTTCCGAAACAACCGGAAGTGTGATTGCCCGGTCACTTGTGCAGATGAGGAGCCGTGGAGTCCGTGGATCTCTGGTGGGGTCAGGTCCTCTTTCCCCAGACGACCCGTCGCGTAGGACGCCTTTGATTGCGAGAACTGCGTGCCGAAAGTGCCCTTTGGCTTTACGGGGCCACAGCAGCAGGACGGCCGGAGTGAAGGGCGTGGACGGACGGTTCATGGGGTACCGAACCAGAAAATCATAGAGAGAGAGAGAAATACCCTATACCTTTCATTACCTTTCCCCGTTTGAATGTGGATTTTCTCGTTGAAAAGCCTTACTTTTCCCATTCACTAGAAAGCTGTGGATTTCCTCGCTGGATTTTTCAATTCAAGAGTTTAAAAAAAACCTAATGAACTATCTGAATGTTCCCTTTGGACTTTCCAAGTAAAGAGTGTTGATTTTCTCAACAAGAAACGTTGGCTTCCGAGAAACAAGGAGAATTCCCTTGTGGGATCTCTATGATTCTCCTATGAATGTGGAGTTTTCCATCAAGCGAATTTGGATTTTCCATTCAAAATTTGGCATGTTCCCAGCAAAAAAAAGAGTCTGAAGATGTCTAGAGTCTAGAGTCGACAAGACATTTTCCCATTGAACCTCTACGCATATTCGCAAAAGGTGTCGAATTTACCACATGCAAAGTGTGGGTGTTCCCATTCAACATGTGTGATTTTCACTTAAACACAGTGGATTTGACCAGTGTACGCGTGCTGGTGCCAATTACTCAAGATTTTCTCATTCAACATATATAATTATTTCACATTCTCAAATTCGCTAAAACGCGGCTTTTCCCATCAACAAAACAGTGGTTTTCTCGCAAGCACATGGCTGAAAACAGGGTATGCCGGTATGCCCTCAATTGCCATAAAACAGTGCTACACCATGCTACACCCCCAAAATTGATTCAAAATCCTTGCCTCAATGCAGGCCGCGGCCACATTGGGCTCCGCTGTGGGCGTCAGCATGGGCGCAGCCATCGGCATCGCCGTGGGTGTCGGTGTAGGCCTGGCCACGGCCATTGGCGTGTCCGTGGCGATCGGAACGGCGGGCTTTGTCGTGCCCAACGCGCAGGCGTTGTCAGGGCTGGGATTCATGGATGATGGATGAATTGGAGGATTAGACTGATTAGACACTAGAATATTGATAATTAAATGAACACACACACACATGCACACACATGCACACACATACATACATACATACATACATACATACATACATACATACACACATACATACATACATACATACATACATACATACATACATATATATATATATATAATATATATACATAAAATGATAGGATACAATCATGAGCTATCCCCAATGCAGGTTTATTAAAATCACCGAAATGGATTGGTGAATGGGATGGTTAGCACATGAAGCGGGCGAAAAATGCAATGCCATAATGCCATGAAAGTCCACACTTGTGTAATATTGTGCAGTATTCTGTATTCATTATATATGTACTCGCATGGGTACATACACACATTCATGCGTACATACGCACGTACGTACGTACGCACACACACAGACTGACTGACAGACGGATGGACGGACAGACGGACATAGAAAGAAAGACAGACAGACGTACGCACATAGACACGCAGACACATAGACACATATTTCATTTGATTGTTTTTTTTTTTGGTGTTGTGGGTTCATTGTTATTGTTGTTGTCATTGATTGCTGTATTGACAACTCGTTCTTATACTGTATTCACAACCTTTGCCAAATTGCGTTCTCTTTGCACAGTTTGGTAGGGGTTTGGAGCAGCCTACTTGAAACAAATGATTCAAGATGGCTTCGCAAACACAATTTCGGTTGATTTCTCCAACGAAGCCAGGGCACAAAACGATTTTGGTTCACTCGTGACGCCTCGACGTTGACGCTTCCAGGAATTCACGACCAGTGCGCCGGTGCAGGAAGGCATGAAGAATGCCTTGGCACGCTTAGGAAAGGTGGATGGTGGCGCGGATGCGGTGACGCTCAACTGGGAGACGGGCCGGCGCTTGGAGAACGTCTGGCACAGTGTCCCCATGGCGCAGCATCGGGAACTTGCCGAAAAGGTGAAGTTGAGCTTTGAAATTGAAACCAAAGGGGAGGAGGAAACTTGGCGTGACATGGCGTGACATGTTTCAACAAATGTAGGCCCATGATCGTTTAAACTACTGTAAGTTTTGTGATTCCCTATTTGTGGACTTACTTCGATAGATGGAAACACAGATAGACAGACAGATAGATAGTCAGAAATAATGTAGATTCTAGATAAGTAGTTTTAGATATGAGGATGGGTCGAAACCTATTGTTACCATATTTGGGGGAATAACCATCCATTACCCAGCTATTTTAGGGTACCATCCGGGTCCCAGGTTTTTTTTGAAGGGGACGTCTCCCGCACCAGGAAGGTCTTCAGCTTTGCGAAGTGCTCACGGACATCGATGAACAAGGTGGAATCTTCACAACCCATGATTCATGAGGAAAAATGAGGAAAAACACATGTTTTCCTGCAACTGGTCCATTAAACCAAACCATTGATCATGGCAACTTGCTAAATGACAGACGTCATGATTCATAATGTAGCGTTTGGAGCCAACCCTGGATCAGTAATAAATCCACGATATCACCAATCTTATAGCGATGATTTCACACGTAAATGGCACCATCCGCAATATAGAACCCTTGGCCACGATGCAATAATTCCGTAAAATCCCAGCAAAGGAGTAGTGTTTTCTTTCAACCCTTTCATTGCTTCTTTTCTTCAGCATCTCAAAAATTGATAGAAATGACATGCCATACCACTAGTGGTATTATGAGGCAATACACTTTTCCTTTTTTGATCCGGCTGACGGGTTGAACCGGTTGCCACCAGGTGCAACGAAGGTGATGACTGAAGAGTTAGAAGCTGCCGGGGCGCCCATCGATTTCCAGTTGGTCTCTTGGGAGCCGGAGCCAAATCCCAAGAGCTACAACCCCACGCAGCTGATGCCGGGGGGAGGCGGCAAAAAAAGATCCTTAGAGACAGAGACGAGTTGAAGACTGTGATATATTTTCCATAGTGTTTTTTTTTCTCCATATTTTCGAAGATATGCTGAAGTTGTTTTTCTTTATATGCAATGTAGTTTTGGTTTACTACATGTTTGCTTCATGATAATTCGATGGGTGATGAATATCTATCCTTTGCTCTTTGGCCCAACAACCAAGGATCCTTCGTCCCAGACATGTTTCAGCCTGGGAAACCAAGCTTTTTTGGAAAGGGCGGCGGACAAGGCATTGACTTTGGCTAAAGAGCTAAAGCTGAACAAAGGTTCAGTGGCCGATGCGCCCAATGTCTTGGCGTCCACCTTTGGCATGTCTTGGGATGCGGATTGTGCATGTCTTTAATATGTCTTTAATTAATTAGAATCTTTCAATGAATTTGGTCTCTTGATCATCTAGACTGGTTGGTGTTGATTGTATGGCTTGCATCTGCCAACATTTGGGGTGATAATGATGCCACTTGACTCATTTTCAACCTGTAAGGAACTGTTCTTTTTTCAGAAAAGTCATCGGCCAGATTAAGTTCCCTGCAGTCTTAACTACTGCAGTGTCATTCGTGCGCGAAAAAGGATAAAAAGGATGCCACATGGCAATTTGTCACGGCCGGGATTTCACTGGGTCTGAGTCTGAGCATGTCTGAGCTGTGGCGTCCAAGGAAGATGAGGAACAGTGGTTCATTTGCAACCGCCAGTTGCAAAGCTTGGACGCCCCAAGTTTGTGTCAAGTCTTGGGGCTGTGGAAGGAGGCAGAGCGGATCTGGGAAGCCCCTCAAAATTAAATCTTCGCAACTGGGAACAACTGTGAATTTCAATTGAGGATTAATAGAACATAATAGAACTATATGAATGAATAAATGTAGATGACATTTGGATGCTTCAAGAAACATGGTCGTCTTACCATGTTTCACCTAAACATTGCCCACAAAAGCGTCAAGAGGGTGAAATGCCGTGAATTTCTCTTCAATTTTTGAAGGCTGTCATCCTGCAGCCCGGCAGGATGATAGCTATCAGCTGGTTATGGAGCTTGTCCCAGGGATGGACCTTTTTACCATGCTGAAAGCTGAAGGAGCTTTCCCCCCAGACACAGCGTTGCTTGTCGGCGCAACTTTTGGGATCGGGTGATCAGTGGGATCAGTGCGGTGACTCATTGCATCTGCGGAGGGAAACCTGGAACCCGAAGCCCCTAATTGATCTAATTGGTGATAAAAAACATGTGAAAACTCCATTGTTTCCTTATGGGATTTTTCCTGCAATCCATTGAATGACTGTGTGCGCAAATGCCAATCGTCGACAGAGCACATTCAGGCGCCAAATCACGAAAGACATCCTTGAAGCTTTGGCCGTACCTTGGTATCACTGTCCTTGATATTCAATCATGATGATGGAACATCAACTACAAATGGAGGTTTTAGCGGAAATCATTATTTAATTATAAATTATAAATGCGGCATTTTCCGTTTATCAATGATTTTGCTAAATGTTCAGTCTTTGAAAAGCAACCTATCGATGATTTTCCTGCAATCAAAGGGGATTTTCAATTGCCAGGCTAGATTGTCATAGCAATCGGTTTACTTTTCGACCATGTTGACACCGCTCTGAGTCTCACCCAGGGGCGAGTGAACCTCCTAGGAAACCATCCATATCGGCGGAATCGTCGGACTAACTCCATATCGTTTTGTTAATTGCAGGGCGATAGCACGAGGTGCTTCATGGGCAGCAGTTGATTCATCGCGACATCAAACTGCAGAACATCATGGCGCAGCGATGCCCGCTCTCGGGTGAGATCAAGGTGCCTGTGCTGAAGTGCTGCTAGAAGTGGTACTGGTAATGAGTAGCACCCCACGAGCAGTGATTCAGTAGGACCCAAACAAACATCAAACCCATGAGAGAGAGAGAGAGAGAGACAGCAAGAGCAACATAGTGCAACCACCCCAAATTTCAATGTTCTGATAAAGAATGTCAAAGGTATCTTAAGTTGATTGCATTGTTTTTTTTTGGTTGGGGGGGTTCACGTGCACCAAACACACAGGCCAAGAGCTACATTTTTGGGGGTCCCCACACTCAGTAAAACCGGTTTGCTTTCATCGTCCATCCACTGTCGGATGATTGGTTTCCTAAATATGGAGTGCATCTATGTAATGTCGTTCAAGATGACTCAATGATGTCTAACAGTTTTTTGAATTCCAACGATTTAAAGATTTTGCGATAGGCATGGCTCAAGATGCTCAAGTAGATAAGTAGCACCATTTATCCGTATATATGTATATTTCTATGCATACATACATACATACATACATATACACATACATACATACATACATACATACATACATACATCCATCCATCCATCCATCCATCCATCCATCCATCCATCCATCCATCCATCCATCCATCCATACATACATACATACATACATACATACGAACGTACATACGTATGTACGTACGTACGTACGTACGTACATACACTCATACATGCATACATGCATACATGCATACATGCACACATGCATAGATGCATACATGCCTAGATGCATACATGCATACATCCATACATCCATACATCCATACATCCATACATCCATACATCCATACATCCATACATCCATACATCCATACATCCATACATCCATCCATACATCCATACATCCATACATCCATACATCCATACATCCATACATCCATACATCCATACATCCATCCATCCATCCATCCATCCATACATACATACATACATACATAATTACATACATACATACATCCATCCATCCATCCATCCATCCATCCATCCATACATACATACATACATACATACATACATACATACATACATACATACATACGAACGTACATACGTATGTACGTACGTACGTACGTACACTCATACACTCATACATGCATACATGCATACATGCATACATGCATACATGCATACATGCATACATGCATACATACATACATACATACATACATACATACATACATACATACATACATACATACATACATACATACATAATATAGGGATCCTTAATTAATTATTCCAGGGGGTACCGTGGGTTGGTGGAAAAATTTTGTCAGAATAATTTCTTAGGAATAATAACTCACTAGGGTAGGTGGGGGGGGGTACCCCAAGGTGCCAGGAACAATATTGGAATTCTATACCCAATGTTGGTTTGGAATAATTTCAAGAAATCCATCAAGAGAAAGATGCAAAACATTGGAAAAAAAGAGCAGACAAGAGAAGACAAGAGCTAGTAGGGTTTTGGGGCCCATGCTGGCCCATGTTGGGTGAGATGGGTTCCTTGTTTGCAAGGGGGGTAATCTTCCATGTGTGGTTTAGGGGTCACATACCCCAGGAATAATTTCGGTTTTGCTGTTTGGGAAGAAGGGATGTGAAAGGGGCTGGGGGAGGAATGCTGGGAAAGGATTGGAAAGGGTTGGTTTTGTGTGGTTTAGTAGGGTTTTGGATGGTTTTGGGTGGTTTTGGGGCCCATGCTGGCCCATGTTGGGTGAGATGGGTTCCTTGTTTGCAAGGGGGGTAATCTTCCATGTGTGGTTTAGGGGTCACATACCCCAGGAATAATTTCCGTTTTGTTGTTTGAGAAGAAGGGATGTGAAAGGGGCTGGGGGAGGAATGCTGGGAAAGGATTGGAAAGAGTTGGTTTTGTGTGGTTTAGTAGGGTTTTGGGTGGTTTTGGGGCCCACGCCGGCCCATGTTGGGTGAGGCGGGTTCCTTGTTTGCAAGGGGGGTAATCTTCCATGTGTGGTTTAGGGGTCACATACCCCAGGAATAATTTCGGTTTTGCTGTTTGGGAAGAAGGGATGTGAAAGGGGCTGGGGGAGGAATGCTGGGAAAGGATTGGAAAGGGTTGGTTTTGTGTGGTTTAGTAGGGTTTTGGATGGTTTTGGGTGGTTTTGGGGCCCATGCTGGCCCATGTTGGGTGAGATGGGTTCCTTGTTTGCAAGGGGGGTAATCTTCCATGTGTGGTTTAGGGGTCACATACCCCAGGAATAATTTCCGTTTTGTTGTTTGGGAAGAAGGGATGTGAAAGGGGCTGGGGGAGGAATGGTGGGAAAGGATTGGAAAGGGTTGGTTTTGTGTGGTTTAGTAGGGTTTTGGGTGGTTTTGGGGCCCATGCTGGCCCATGTTGGGTGAGGTGGGTTCGTGTGGTATCGTGTGGTATCGTGTGCTGACAGGATCTGACTGGATCTGACTGGCAAGGTTCTGAATGTGAGGATGAGTGAGGTGCAAGCTGATTCAAGTAGCTGGAAGTATCTGCAAGTGAAGGTTTTAGTAGAAATTATTCTGCCCTGTCAGCCACGTACTGGAACAATTTCCCAGAACAACCTCCAAGGTATCTGGAATAATTTCTAATTATTCCTGGGTATGGTCAGGGGGGGGCCCCCTAAGGTACCCTATATCATGCATACATACATAATCATACATACATAAATGCATAAATACATAAATACATAAATGCATAAATGCATAAATACATAAATACATAAATACATAAATACATAAATGCATCCATCCATCCATCCATCCATCTATCCATCCATCTATCTAGCCATGCCATGCCATACCATACCATACATTACATACATTACATACATTACATACATGACATTACGTTACATTACGTTACATTACGTTACATTACGTTACATTACGTTACATTACGTTACATTACGTTACATTACGTTACATTACAGATATATATATATATATATCAAAATTCAGTGCCCAAATCACCGGTGGTTTCTGTGCCCAAACTACGTTCCTTCTTGGTCCACGGTCCTAGGTGAAAATCATTAACTACGATATGCTGTGGCCGATGTGCGGCGCGAAGGTCCGCGGATAGAAAAACGCTGCAGTTCGCGGTTGGTTGGTTGGTTGGTTGGTTGGTTGGTTGGTTGGTTGGTTGGCATTTCAATGACGTTGACATTTGACTTGGAAGTTATGCAATGTTATGCGCCATTGACAAAGTGTCAGGGAAAACCGTCGATGTGATTGGCAGTCTGCGCATAGCTTTGACGGACCTTTTCTGTATCCGTGGATGCGGCCGCTGAGGCTACCTCTCGCTTTGTGGTTGGATCAGCCTCCAAACAGCACTGCCATGGCCGGTTTTGCCAATGGCGATAATCAAACTGGCGTCAATAGGAACATGACGAACATTCATTTCCTTTTTGAATGCAGAATTTGCGAGCATATGAGTAAAGGTGAGGTATGGGATAGAAACTAGTAATGTAATGTAATGTAATGTATAGGTTATGTATAGTACGGGGCAATGTTAAAGACCAAGATTTGGGTAGATATGACATCCCGTGGCGGATCTATTCATGGATTGGGGCTCATTTAGGGCGGAATTGTAGCTTTGACGGCTGGCGTTTGTTGAACTTCTGAAAATCAATCATCCAACATGAGTGGGTGATGCCACAAACAAATGAGCAGAGATGGTTCTGCTTTGAGCCTTTGCAAACATAAACTTGCACCATCTTGCACCAATCCATGCTGTTTGTTTATAACCTCATCGAACGATGGTTATAGTCACCATGAACTTCCAAGATATGCTACTTACAAAACCAACTGACCTATCCAGGGGGTCTTTCGGTCGGACCTGAAAAAGACGCCGTTGCGAGTTTTATTTCCGGTCGACGTCGGCCCCTGCAAACTGAGGACCAGTACATCGCGCCAGAGGCGTACGATGCCCACTACTCCGTCGCTTCAGATCTTTTTGCCGTGCCTGGCTGTGAGTTTAGGAACCAAAAACCCACCGCACAAAAGGGAGAGTCCGGGTAGTTTTTTCGGGATCAAATTGAACGCCATTAGGAGAAGGGTGAACATCACTTCAGTGATTCATTCTATATATTCTATTGAATTTCTTCAATTTCCAAGTATTGAAATTGAGACATTCTTGTTTGGAGATTTTGGAGGATGTGTCAGTTTGCATTTGGTCATGAAGGCCTGGGTGTTGGCCACCGTAGCCGTTGTTTGGCGAGGTTGGGGTGGTCTGCTTCGCGCTGTGTTTCGGCCGCTTTCCGTTTTCGTCCAAGGTCTTTGACGCTAAGGCAGGATGTCCATCCGGAAACCCGCAAGTTAACATAGCTGACATAGCTAGCATCGCCATGTTACGTAAATCCATGTGAATCAATGTGAAAAAAGATGGAAAACAGCTATTTCTATGGAAAACCGGCTATGGCTTTCCCCATCTTCCCCCCATGGATAGGACGATGAGCCCGGACAAAACCTGGTGGGCTCACGCAAGATGAAAGAGATCGGCCAGCGGCTACGCAATGCCACCATCAAGTGGCCCGACGGGCCCAAAGAGGATCAGGCCGGCGTTGTCCAGCCGTCAATATATCAAGAGGGGTCAAAAAAGGAGCGATCAAGGGGCCCAAAAACCAAGAGGTCCTACCCTCTGGTAATTTAACATAGCAATTGAAAATGGTGATTTATAGTGGATTTTCCCATTGAAAATGGTGATTTTCCATAGCTATGTTAGTTTACCAGAGGGTAATTTGTCCTAATTTGATCATTGTGAGATTTGAACTCGACCCAAATTCAGAACTCAGGGGACCCACGATGTTCAAAACACGACTGGACCAACTGGGCTCAATTCAGCCGCCCGGTTGCCGCAGGCGGCAGACTTTTGCCGCTGGCTTTTAGACATGAGCCTTGGGCCAAGGATCATGGGGCACCAAGGGGCCCACAAAAATGCTTCGCTTTTAGTACATTGAATGTACATGCACTATATTCACTATCCATTTCGGGGATCATATGTGAAGTAAATGGCCCAACTCGCCCTTAAGAAGAACCATGCTAAGCATGGTTCAATGCTTATTGATCACCAATCATGATCATGATATTTGGTGTGTACTGAATACATGGCAAGGTGATGTAACCAACCCCCAGCTTCTGCTAATCCCTGTCCCCTGTTGCATCCTCCACAATCTGAGTTGAGTAGCAGCGTCGACAAAGAAGATCTGGGGGTATCACAAACATTCCGCTTGGGTCTGCTTGGTGGTTTCAAATCTGCCCCTCTTATCTGAGTTTACTCGTGTCGCATGTCTTACGTCTCTGTTCCCCCTTCTATGTCTCATTCAAAAAGATCGAATAGCTGGATCTGCCACGCGCGGAAGATCTTGGGCACCTGAACGCGCCTTTTGCCCCATAGCCATGTAAAGATTGGAATTAAACTTGAGGCTCTTGAGGATCTCTTTTGAATGCCGGTAAACGACAAAGGGATGCTTTAAACACTTTTAAAATGAAAGCTTCAACATTTGGGATATTTGGGCTGTGTTTAGATGAGACGTGTGATCGCCATGTCCAAAGCGTGGCCTGCGCACCCTGCCCCAGGAACCCGAAGAACCGGCCCAGCGATGCGTCCGAAGCTTTGAGACATCCATTCCTGCGCTTGAGATGAGTCGGGTCCCAACCAGTCGAGTGGCCGATTTCTTTAAACTGCAAGCCGCTCGGTTATTGGTTTTACCATGTTTTACCCCATGGAATGCGAAATCATACTCTTCCATGGTGAAATGGACTTGATTTCGGTTCCCCTTCTGTGACAGCTTTCACCCCAATCCAAACGCATTGAAAAAATGGCGGCAGTGAACTGATTCATCCCACGTCACGTGACTCCAGCGCAGGCTGGTGCAATTATTCCATACCTGTCCTTGCTTTGCGGCCACACGCGCTTTACGGTTCCAGCGTCTGGCACAGTAGTCCTTGTACAGGAGATGCTGCAACCGATATTCTTCGGTAATCAAACATGGCAATAAATTTCCCATAAAAACCTCCGTTTTAGCTCGGGGAGTTCTCAGGGGCTCGCCATGTTTCGGACACCGAAGGATAGGGCCGTGGATAACGCCGATGGATCAATCATTTTGCGATTATTGAGGTTGATCCGGGGCACCGAGTCACCCAGATGGGAATCACTCAGGTTTGCCCGACGGAACGGACAGCTGAGCTGCTGGGTGTTTTTTTGTGCAAGAAATTGGTCAAGAATTAGTCTTCAAGAAAGACTGTCCAGTTTATGAAATTTGATTCAAAATTCGAAACTATTCTCATGATCTATCATTCGAAGACGCGTTGACATTTTTTCTACAAACTTGGTGTGACACTTAACGATTTTAACGCCCGGTTGTAGCTTGTACACCTGCAACCCAAAATGGAACCAGGTTTAGAGCCTTTATCCACTATTCATGAATCGACATTACGATATATTACGATACTTGTAATCATTGCAATCGTTCTATCTCAACCTCCAAACTATGAATCGACATTTTCCAAACCCAGGGCTCTCGGCTTCCATATGGGTTATGGTGTAGAGTTAGGGTGCACTGGTCTTCCTTTCATGAGGCTCATGGAAGGGCCAGCAGTAGGGAACTCTTCAGCTATACCATCTACAGATATCTACAGTACGCTGGGTCAGCCTTGGATGATCAGGTTTGGTGATTTTTAGCGAAGTATATCAATATATGTGATAATAATATAATATAATATAATATAATACAATACAATATAATATAATATAATATAATGTATTATAATATAATACAATACAATATAATATAATATAATATTATATTATATATTTAATATAATATAATATAATACAATATGTATATATATATACATATATCTGTGTGTATGTGGGTGTGTGTCTGGAGTTTAACCAACAAAACGGAGAGTTTTACCATCATCAAATAACACGCGATAGAAATATAGGGTCAGGCCTCGCTTGTGACGCCATTTTTGGCATCGTTTTTGATGCCGGTCTTGGCCTCACTAAGATATAGTCAAAGCCCCACCCAACCCCACTTCGCCCGACCCCGAAGTGAGCATGACCGTGATTACCACCCCGCCCTGGCTCCCTAAGCTGGCAAAATGATCTGCGCATATCTGCGCATGTTGAGCTGGAAAGGCATCCGACATCATCCGACAAAGTTTCAAAAAGAGAAAAAGTGAACAGTCAAATACTTCTCGAATTTTTGACTTTTCGACTTTTCTTCTTCCCCCTCAGCTTTTTGACTTTTCGCCTGTCGCTTTTCTTTCTTAGATCTGTATGTCTTCGCCATGAAAGAACACTTTCTTCAAGATAGACACGTCCAACCAAAAAATCCCAAAGTCAAACATTATACTTTTCCTCTTTTCGTTTTTTCGATTTTTTTCTTCTTCCCTTTCAACTTTTTGGGGAGCCAGTAAAGGTTTGCAAGTCACAGGGTGGTCAAACAAAGTTGGCGAAGTGATGAAGTTGCTTCAGCGATTTAGATCGATTTAGTATAATCACGAAAGCTAGCGTCAGCTAGCTGGAGTCTTCTTGCTTTAGCAAGTATTCCGGGGGCTGCTCAAGGACATCACGTGATTTTTCACGCGAAATGGGGGGACCCCCCCCCCTCCCCCCCCCCTCCCTCCCCCCCCCCCCCCCCTCCCCCCCCATTGAGCCATTTATATGCCCCCTCAAGGCTCAAGAGGTATATAGAGTAACCCATAGACAAGCACGGACCGGCAACATCATCATAATCATCATGCTGTCATTGGGGAATCATCATCCTGATCTTGAATCACGCTAGGGCCCCTCTCATCATCGTCCGGAGCTGTGATCCATCATTGAGGGTGAGCTCCAGGAAGAGCCCAAGCAATGGCAATCATGGCTATGATGATGATGTCATCGACATTGTCGATGTCATGAATGGAATCAATATCACTCTTATTGGCATACACATCATATCAACAGATCGCTAGAGATCTTCTTGCTTTAGCAAGTATTCCGTGGGCTCCCCAAGGACATCACGTGCTTTTTCACGCGAAAGGGCCCCCCCCTGCCCCCTCCCCCATATATATCATTGTTATATATCATATATCATATATCATTGTTGCATCCTCGTTGGGACGAACAATGCCGCGACACGATGATGACAGTCCCTCCACAACTCACCTCTTCCCTTCCTTCTTTCTCCTACCCCGCTAGCTTTCGTCATCCACCCCCGGCCTCAAGTTATATATATATATGCACATCATATGTATTCATATGTGTCAACCAAATGCACATATACATATACTTATAATACGCATATTCCTATGCTTTAAATTCTGTTTGCTTGTACATGAATATATAAACATGTATTTGGTTTGTGCACAGGTATTTTTTCCATACATATTTGTATATGCATGTACGCATCTGAGTGCGATCAAACCCGCGCTCAGATAGTTTTCATGTGACATTCTTTTCGGCTTTTGGAAATTCAAAATGAAACCTTTCCACTTTTCGACTTTCCTGCTTTTCGACTTTTCGAAATTCAAAACGAAGCCTTTCCACTTTTCGATTTTTCTCTACGTTTCGAAATTCAGTATGAAACCTTTCCACTTTTCGATTTTTCTACGTTTCGAAATTCAGTATGAAACCTTTCCACTTTTCGACTTTTTGACTTTTCGAAATTGATTTTGCATACTTTCTGATTGGAACCATGCAGCTCATTCCTACCCAGCTTCCCCCACCCTGCCCCCCCCACAGAGCATGGACTGAAAGAGGCCGGACGTGAGTCTCTCTGGTGTCGCGTCATACGGAGCCTGAAGTGAGTCCTTCACAGAAATACTTTGGAAATACCCTCTGGTGATTTAACAGTTCGCCATGGAAAGATCCACCCATTTTTAATAGGTAAACCATCTATAAATGAGCCATGGCTTCTATGGCTATGTTAAATAACCAGAGGGTATCATGGAATATATATATATAATATATTTGGAATATTTGGGCCAACTGACTGGATGGAAGAACGCAGACCATCATCCAATATCAGTTGGGACATGTTGGGACTGCAGCAATGGGAGCCAGTGACCTCTCTTTAATCAAAAACGGGCATGCCCCCACAATATTCATATATACATACATACATACATACATACATACATACATACATACATACATACATACATACATACATACATACATACATACATACATACATACACACACATATATATATACACATGCATACACACACATTATATATATTATACACATATCGTTTTTTCATGCACATGCATCATGTACATAACATATACCTGGTATGTGTATATATAAGATAGAGACATCTGAAATCAATTTCATCAAACCAACGGAATTTACCACAGCTGGCATGAGCCCAGGGGACTTGAAAAGGAGGTGGGTTCCTTTCTGCATCTGCCAAGGCGTGAAGGCTGGGAAGTGTCATGGCAAAGCCATGCAAAACCCAGTCACAAATGGTTGCTTGAGTGGTGGTTTCCCGCCACGAAGGGATATACACACATGTCATATATATTTATAGACTATTTACAGTGGTAGATATAGATCTGCAGACACGATCTGTAGTTACTACTTTACATATCTTTACATCCCCTTCATTCCGATTGTTCCGAATTACGAATGACAGTAATCTCTTCCGCGTTGAAACCACCAACCAGTCGCACTCCAAGCGGGTGCATTGAAAAGCCCGGGACAACGTCCACGAACCCCGCCTTTGTCACAACGGGGGATCCTGCGAAGCCACGGTCGAAACTTGACGAACTGTGGACTTTGGGAGTCCCTCATTTGTTCTACACAGTATACATTGATGGCAAGGAGAAACGCCCCGAAAAAAACACATTCTTTAATGTTTGCCGGATGTTGTTTATTTAGTTTCGTCGGGGCAGGACTTGCTGAAGGTTTTTTTCCAAGAAATTTGGTGTCTTTTCGGTGTGCGAGGTGTTGACATGATAATTTACCCAGATGGCTTTGGTCATTGCTAGGTGATCAGAATAGCTACAGGCGAAGTCGCCTGAGCTCTTGCACTGGTGTGGATCGCTTTGGAGTTGTCATTTGAAGTTGTTTCGCCCTCTTTGTCTGACATGTTTGATCACACCCATACCCGCCGTCAGTATTTGAGATGGCCATTTGTGTTTCGGAAAAAAAAAGTGGGGAAGCAGGCCCAGCTGATGGGGATTGACACACAGATCAGACGGGCATAGAATAGCTAGAATGTAGTAACCGCCAAAAAGATCCAAGAAAAATCAAAAAGATGGAAACATATAGAAACGTAAGCTACGCTATTTTCTGCACGTTTTTTAGGATTTTTCTTTTCCATTCTTTTGTGTGTTCACCGGTCGTCACCGGTCGGTCTCTGGTTTAACCGTCAATTCTCCAGAACATGGAGCAACGAGCGAAAAAATCATCGAATGATATCATTTTTATCATTACATAAGCCGTTTGAACAGAAATGATGATGATGATGCTAGTTGTTTGTTAATGGTTATTAATAGTTATTAATGGTTATTAATGGTTATTAATAGTTATTAATAGTTATTAATGGTTATTAATTGTTATTAATGGTTATTAATGGTTATTAATGGTTATTAATGGCTATTAATGGTTATTAATGGTTATTAATGGTTATTAATGGTTATTAATGGTTATTAATGGTTATTGATGATGATGATGATGATGATGATGATGATGGTGATCCATTGGAAGCGGGGGCGTTCTAGGAAGGAATATACCATTGGAGTATACCATTCTCAAAAGAGGACATCACTGAGATCAGGCTTTGGTGCCGAAATCCACCATGGGGGAATGCACAGGGCGCAATAACCGAACCGAACAGAACCCCTTTTCCAGGCTTTTATGCGAATTTCCCGGTCCTTTGACTTTCCGCTGTACACCCGCACACCCCGTGAAAAAATCTGGCTCCAGTGTTGGTGGAGGGGAGCCGGAGTGCCTCAACGAGGCTGGGCATGGCAATGTGATTT